AGGGAGGGACTGTATAGGAGTGTGAATTATTTCCTACTCAGCGTAATGCACTTAGCAATTAGGGATCGAAATCTTTGCTCTTCAGATCTTTTTTCCTAGCTCCCTTATGGCCAACCCTGACCTGCCTGTTTTCCTCTTCACCCTAAAGCCTGAAGGAATTCAGTTATTCACTGCAGCTGCAGGATGGCCAACATCTGTGTGGTGCACTCAGGGTCACTGCAGGCCTGTGTGCAGCAGTGGGCACACAGCAGAGCAACCCAGGCAGCAGTGAAAGCATGCACAGCAATGTGAGCACATCGCAGCCTGGAAGGTATCCAACGCAAAGAAATGACTCTTGAAATAGAAATTCTTATCTTAGCAATGTGAGAATGGTGGCAGACGCACAAAGTGTCTTCTGTGGTGGAGCTGGGTAGGATATGCAATTATCTGAACTGATGGGAGGCCTGTTTTATTATTTTTTTTTTTAACTTGGTTGCATTTTTTGGTCTCTTCAGCCTGACTTTCGGTCTCTATGTAATATTTTTATAATTTTTCTTTGTCAGTCCTCGGATGTTTTGTTTTTTTCCTCCATAAAACATTGGTTTGCCCCAGTGTGGGGGAGGCTCTGTGGCTTTACACATTATTTGTTCTTCTTCCAATTGACGGCAGATCAAGGGTTGCTATAATATTCATCTTCCTTGCCTGCCCACCTCTTCCTGATGGGTTCTTCATGGGAAAAATCTGGATAGCTGGACTTTTCTTTCTGCCTGCAGGGCTATACGTTAATGACCTGAAATGCTCTTTAAGTGTTTCAAAAAATAAATCTGCTAATGCATTTCGTGTGCCAGCGAGATGCTGGGAGTATTAAAGCAGCATTTGGGACAGCCTTCTAAACTTTGTTCTGGCTGCGTGCAAACAGCACGGGCATTTTGGGACGAAAGGCCACTTACAAAGCACAGGTATGAGCACTGAAACCTCTCTTCTTGGGGAAGGTGAAAGATAAGGACAGAGCAGCCAGGTATGCCAGGAAGCTGCAGGAATACCCAGTGTAACAGCTGAGCTGCTAAAGGCCACTGAGACAATTGTCAGCAGAGCATCAGGCCGCTGCAAATGATACGAAGGAAAGAGGAGGTACTGGGTAACTGATGCCTTTGGTTAGTTACGTCAATTTGGAGAGAGAGACTGCAGTGAAGAAATGCTTTGGAGGGATGAGTTTGCTGCAGAAACACAGTGAAAGCAGCTGGTGAAGAATAAAGACTGGTTGTAGAGAATGGGAGGCGGACTGGTAGGAGGAAAGAAGTTAGAAGGAAAATGGGATGTGAAATTCAGGAAAGGGACTGCTAAAGTGAAGGCGGGCAGTAGGGGGGACCCTGCTGGAGATGTGGGGATGACAGAGTGCCAGGGAAATCCTGCCAGCACACCCAAGGTCAGCCCAACCTACAGGCCAACTGCCAAGTGGATGGCAGCATGGCTCAGGCAGGGTTATGGCCATGCAGGGTTTGAGGGAGGTGCAGGTGTAGGATGGCAGAAAATCCTGTCTGCATGGTCCTTGTGTCCAGGAATGTGTGTAGGGATGTGGAAAGCAGAATTAGCAAACTTGCACTAAGAAATGAGAAGTAAAGAAAGGCTTTTCTCTAAAAGCAGCCCTGGAAATGCTGGGCTGTGTTCATGCTCAGAATGTACTCTGCACTGCTGTAACTTATCCCTGGCTCCTGGGGATAAAACTTGTGCTTGGGGTACCAACTGTGTGCTGGGATGTTTTGCCTTCAAACTCTATGTGTGACCTTGTGCAAATCAGTATAATTTAAAATCGGGCTGTGGAAAGCATCCCTATCTTTTATGTTGGCTTATGGTTCCAAAAATGATAGTTTAATACCCGCTAATTTCAATGCATGTAAGTTTCAATCAGGAAAGCTGGGGAGGGCTAAATATTTGCCTTGATATTTACTGGGGGTTTCCGAGTGCTGTATTGACACCAGTAAAGATCCTGCAGGTCTTCACAGCCCCTCTGTGTTTTTGGGTCCCCAGTGACAGCAGGACTCAATCCACTGAGCACCTTGCATCCTCCCTTTTGTGGAACACTACATGAAGAGGCTGGGAGTGAACACAGCTGCTATTAGCACAGTGCAGGAGGTTATTTTAAATGAAAGGACAGAGGACTTGAGTGCAGAACAGCAATCCTGTGCTGCAAATGCCTTATAGCTACACAACACGCCCCATGCTAAGAGCCTGCATTGATAGGACAGGCTCATCTCCTGGAGTATCACTATGGCTGTTTTCCTTGAAAGAAGATCTGTAGCTGTTTTTGCAGCTGGAAAGCAGGCTGGGGCAGGTGGAACTGGATGCATTTGCACTGCAGCACGGCTGTTACTCCAGTGCCTGCACCCAGTGGGCATATGCTCTTGCAAATCGTGGCTTCCACGAGGCGGCTCTTGTAGAGATCAGAAGCTGGAGTGTGAATCAGAGGAGCCTGGCTGGAGGTTGCCCCGTGGGGCGAGCCGGGACCCCACTGCATCCTCGTTACTGCTGACCTTGGCACGAGTGCTGCCTGCTGATGGATCAGCTATGGAGCTGGACAAGCCCTTGGGGAACCGCTGCATTATCTATTATCGTCCCATCAGTGCCTCCCCTGACCCCTCCCAGCTTCGAATGCCACAGGCATCAGGGAGGGAATAAATCTTTGTCTGATACCGAGAGAGAGAGGGAGCGAGAGCAGGAAAAAGGAGAGATGAAAAATGTCCTTTTTATGACTCTCACAACAAAGCTGCCACATGATTCGTAGCAAACATTTCTCTGGGAAGAGGGAGGGAGAGAATGGGGGGAATCAGCAAAAAAGCAGAGCTGCTTCTCTCCCCTGGAAGGTGCCCACAGGGAATTAATAGAGAGGGGGCATGGGTGACCTTTGAAGGTAAATATCCTGTGCAAGGAAACGGGCCCCAGAGCCTCAGAAAGCTCTCACCGATGCCTGTGAGGTGCCTGGTGAGATGCTCCGTGCAGCACACATCCACCAGAACGGAAAGCAGAAAGTGATCTGTGCTAGAGGGAGCAGCAGGGCCAGGGTGTGATTAATAAGGCACTAATAGCAACCCCAGCATTTATCTCGGCTTGTTTCCGTGCAGGATGATTCAGGAGGGCTTGTACTCATGAGCCTGGGGACGGCTCCTGACCTTGGTGTCTTTGGGACACTTGGGTACCTTCAGCAGTGCTCGCTCCTCGGCTGCACCATCTGTGCTGTGCCTTGGGCAGGGGGACATCACACACTGTTCTCAGTGGGAAAACTTTGGAGGTCTTTACCCAAGTGGATGTTATTAAAGGCAAGCAAGAGCTTGGTGAGATGGAAAGGGGCTGCCTGCTACTGATGTCTCCCTTTTTGCCCCTAGACAAGCGTGTACCTTAACAGCAAGCACATTCCCAATTGGCAGCAATAAGAAACAGAGTTATACAGAGCTTGGAGTCCGAAAGCAGGAGAGCACAGACAGCCAGTAGATTTTTAGCAGGGAGGGTCTTGCTGAAACAGATCTGTGGTGACTGGGAGACCCGAGCTGGGAGTGCTCACCCACATGGGTGTCTTTAACTTGTCGGTCATGAAAAGGGAGTTAAATTCCCCACTTTTACCCAAATGGCTGTAACAGCTCCTTGGTGATGCTGGTAATTTGATTTTGTCTATAACGTGCTTTTAAAGTTAGGGGATAAATACAATCAGCCTGCATAAAAGGTAGCTATTAAGGAGCAGACAAGTTGCACGATAATAACTTTAAATTAAAAGCCCTTTCTCACTACTTCTGTGGTTGTGGGGTCTGCAGATTTTCCTTAAAACTTTTGGAACGTGCCTAGACTTCTTACAGGCAGCCATTTAACCTCCGTTTATGAAGAAATAAAGCAAAATTGATGTTGATTTTGGTCTACATTGGGGGATACTTTTGCAACATAAAAGCCCTTTTGCCTGCAATTTGCAGAGCAGCCCTGTCACATTGGTGAGGGCTGATACTGATAAAGATAAAGCTTTATAGCTGGGGCATTTGCAGCTAACAGCAAGCTAATGCTGCATTTTCATTTTGATGCAATTAATGTTAATGTCTGCTACGAAAATTGTCATTAAATACCATTTTAAAATCCATTCAATTTGCATATGCAAAGCCCATTTACTATCATGTAAAATACACAGTGCAGTTCATCATGTCTTTTCTCTAGAATTTGTTGCTGTTATTTTGCTGGTAGTGATTATTATCCAGCTCTTAAAATGAAACCTAATGTCTAGTCCAGACCTGCACAGAGCAAGAGAAGTCTGTGCTCCAGTAGAATCGGGGCTGCTTTGGAGACCCTTTTTGGGGGTTTTAGTATTTGTCTGCACTGGAATTGAACAGGCTTTTCCAGAGCACCCTGTGTACTGCAGCCCCTTTGTGCTGCTGTAGAGGACAGGTGTCTGGGGGTCAGGCTGAGCAGGGTGCTTGTTTTCCCCCACAGAACCCCTGTTCACAACTGCTCCTGAGAAATCAGCACAGTGGATAATCAGGAATTGGAGTCTGAGCGACTTGTCAAATGGGTCACTTTTTCCACTTCTAAGTGCTGGGTGGTGATCTAGCAAGTATGAGAGAGTGGGATAAAGAATCTGAACTCATCCTTAATTGCACAAGAGTATTTCAACCAGTGTGAGCAGGTAGAAATGCTGCTGCTCTGCCTCAGCATCACTTGCTGACCAGGGAAGCATTATTCTGGCTTACAGCTCTCTGCTCCTTTAAGTCAGAGGATTGACATATAACATTTTAAAGGTTTCCAAGCTTGTATTAAGAGGTGAACTGGGGATGTGTTGTGGCATGCAGACCAGATTTAGGCAGGTGACTGTGAAGGATGGAACCAGGCAGCAAGGCCTGCAAGTAACGCTATGACTCCATCACAGCATGTCTGGTCTTGGGTCACTTCTCTCTTGGGGACTGAGCTGGCTGAGATGTGAGAGTGTTGCAAATATGAAGGAAGGAAGGGATAACGTCATTCTGAGAAGGGCCCTGAGCTTTCCTCCTTACCGTGCTGGGATGCCATAGGTCCTGTCTGCAGGTACATGAGGAGGAGATCTCCTAAAGCGGCTGTATTCGTCGTCTTTGCACCGAATGTCCTTGGCCTTGTAGTACGAGTTGAACTCCCGGGCTGTGGTATACCCAGCCTTCAGAGCACCACGGTTCATGGTGATGAAGTCTCGGGGCATATTCTGAGTTAAATTCTTCCTAGGCTTTATTGTGTTCCAGTGGCCTATTGCTGGAAATGAAAGGAAATGTGAGGCAAAGAGAAAAAGGTGATGGTAACTTTTATCTGGGGAGACAGGACTGTGCAAGGTTTGTGTGCCATGTCTGAGGGCCTCAGCAAGTTTGATTTCACAGGGTAATCCCTGAGAGCACACAGTAGCAGTCCTCTTGAGTTACAAAGTGGCCATATATATGTTGCACTCTTGCAGTTGCCATACCCTTCTCTGCTTGGGGTTTGTGTGATCCAATAGATATTTCCAAGGTGATTTACCAATGGCCAAGAAATTTGGGTAATATTAATGGAAGTGGGTGAATGTTGTTTTTTCAGCCCCAGCTTTCTGAGAAGTAATGAGGAGCATTGGGAAGGAGAGCCCCTGTTAGCATTAGGACTTGTATATTTTAGTAGCATTGCCATACCTTCAGGGACTCCTCCATCTGTCCTTTCGATGTACAGCCCGTATGAAAAATCCAAGCCTGGCAGTGTATAGCAGTTTCTCAGAGGCTTTCCCAGTTCTGCCTGTGGAAGAATGAGGATAAAGAAGAATAAAAACCTTGCTTGATGAGCTGCACCCTCTGAAAACAAAATCATGTATAGAACATGGCCATGAGCGCCTGCAGAGGCTCTGACTGCTCTCGGCACCAGATGGATCCCACTGCCCAGACCCAAGCACAAAGGAGATCTCATAGCTGTGAGGCTTCCTCAGGCCTGGAGCCTGTGGGATGCTGAATTTGGCACAGATTCACAACTGAGTTATAAGGTGATCCAGCCATGCTGGAAATCGTGGCCTTGACAATATATATGATTTTAATGTAATTGTTTGACTAATTTCTCCTTTGGCCAGGGTGCCCAGCCATGGTGGGCAGATAGATTTTTTTTTATTATTATTATTTATTTTTTATTGTTTAATTTATTTGTTTTTTTCAGCAGCTGACCTTAAATTTCCTTCAAAGTATTTCACTTCCAAGTTGTTCGCTCTCCATAAACTCTCCCAAATGCAATCACACTGCCACTCCTGCCTGGGAATAATCAAGGCGCAAGGCATGTTGCGGTGGGATAAGGGCGATGAAGGAGGGGGAGCAGAGCTTGGGATTTATAGCACAGAAAAGGAGAGAACTTGAGCTCAATAATCTCATTTCTATTTAGTTTCAAAATGAACTCTTACCCAGCCCATGTGTATCCCAGCCTGGTGTTGTCTGTGGGATTAACTGACCTCCCTTCACCCCTTTGTCCCAGCCCTCCCATCTCCATGGTGAAGTCACTGCAGGATGTGTGTGTCTTGAAACCTTATTGCTGCTTGAAAGAGAGGCCATGGAGAAGGGAAGGGTGAGAGCAGTCGGGCTGTGTGTGTTCCTGCTGGGGAGAGGGAGCAGAGCGAGGCATTCAGCTCCTTGCAGCCCTGAGGCACGGGGTGGGTGCCTTGGGATGGGTTATTTTCCATGGGAAGCCTGTTGAGGAAGATAGGTTTGTAGGTGTTGGGGCAAATGGCAATGTTGAAATACTGCTCTGTGGCTGAGATCTCTGTCTGCAAAGCCACATAGCAGGGCTTCAGGTACAGCTGGGCATTGGCTTCCCAGGTCTGGGAGGGGAATCCTGCACCCTGGGGCCATTAAATCCAACCACTCATGGCACTGTGGAACTGATGTGATATCCCTGTGATTCCCAGCAGTACAATCTCACCAGAAAATGAATTTTCTGGACTTACTAAGATCCTTTGGTAAACTCCAGCAGCCTATTGCCCTCTGCAAGGCTATGGATCCTTCGATGCGAGCAAACACGAGCAATGAGCTACTTGAAAGCAACCAACTCAGCTACCTGCTCAAACCTGTGCATAACATGGCTGCTTTTTCCCCACTGCCTCCTGCAGACCTCTGGCAGAGGAAGGGACCATTCCTTGCAGATGTGTGCAGCGATGGCAGCAAGAGGGCTTTTAGCACTGCTGCCATTGAAATATCGCACGGCGGTGCTAAACCATATGTGCACGCTGGGTGTGAGTCAGGGAGCTCACGCAAAACGCATAAACTGGTGCCAGGAGTGATAAAGGAGCTTTCAGTGTTGATCTATTTCTCTGGTATTTACAGGCATTCATACGGCAGCTATTTTTAGGGGGAGTTGTCACTGATCTTGCAGGGAAATTGAACAGCGTTGTTCAGATGCACGAGGAAAGGCTTTACCCAGGGCTCACGTTCTGATCCTGGGTCAGCTGAGCGAGGCCAAGAATCTGCTGCTGGGGGGAAGGTGTGGCAGGTGGGAGGAAATTGCTGAGAAGCTGCAGGAAAGGAGAGGCAAAGTGGCTTCCAGACCTCGGAATGCACAACTCTGTAGAACAGAAGAAATTCCCTTTTGCAGAGCGCGTGATGTTACCTCAAAATGCGCGTGTGCTGCTGCTTCTTACGATCAGGTGGCAGTTTACAGTCGCTTTGCACTGAATAAATAAAGTTGAAGGTGCTGGATAATTAATTAAAAAAAAAAATCTGGTCCAATATGTTGAACAGGGAGAGAATCGGCGGCTCTGAAGGAAACCAATGGGCTCAGAGGACTCTGGCTGCATGCCAAGGGTTTTACCCACAAAAGCAAAGAAGGGGAAGGATGTAGCAGGAATGAATCCTGCTGAGTGTAATCAAAGATTAGCCTTTCTCATTCATAAATCAGCAAAACGCTGTTGCAACCTCACGGGCTGGTTTCCTTTGCTTGTCCTCGGGCGATGTAGGTGTGCTGTGCCATGAGCTGTGGTGGGAGAGAGCCAAAGTTGGTGCAGAAGGTCCTTTTTTCCTCCCCAGCTCCAGCACTGCTTTCTGTGTTCGGGTTTAGACTGTCACAAAGCTGCTTGGCTGGAATACAGATCTGTCTGACAGCTGTGCCCATCAGCAGACAACTTCATTAAACCTCATTAAGATGTCATTTCTCTGCCTTATTTCCCACCTCTTGGCTCTAATTAAAACCGTCTCTCTCTGCATCCCAGGCGGTCCTAATTTTCTCTGGGTACCTTCTGCAAGTTTTCTCCCTTTATGACCTCAGTGAGGAAAATCAGGCATCTTAAACACTGTTTATCTAGCCCGTTCACAAACACAACTTCAGGCTTTTTCCTGAAACACTCCCAGTGCATCCTGCAGAGACCGCCTCTTTCCAGGCCTGCAAGAAATGTGTGCTGAGGCTCTGCTTTCTAAAACTCTCTTTAAGGGCTCAGCTAATGCATCCCTTCCCCCTGAGCAGGGTGATTCTAGTTTTTGAACCAGGGGTGTGTGTTCTGTGCTTGGAGGACGCTGCTCCAAGCAGTGCAGTGCTGGAGCTGTGTGGTCAGTGAGATGCCCTGGTTGGCTGCAGTGCTGGGAGTACTGAACTCCCTTGCTCTTCCCAGGTAGGTTCCCATTCATGCAGCCCTGGATTTGGGTTTGAGTGTCTGATGGTGTTGGAAAATGTTTGATGCAAAGCAAAAGCTGGGCTTGGAAGCGGTTCTGTGTGTGAAAAGAGCTGGGTGAGCCGCAAAAGAGCAGAGAAGTAAAGGAACTTGCAGGCTTGCTGTAAACCTCATTTATGTTCCATCTCCTGGCATTTATGATCCATCAACACACATTGCATTAATTTGCTAAAGATGGCTGAGATAGAGAGGGGTGAGGCACCTGCCTGTGTGCAGAGGGATACGATGAGAGATGGAGGCCTTTTAATCCATGCATCTCCTGCAGCCCTTTGGGAGGGGATGCTGGGCAGATTCACAGATCCCCTCTTCTCCAGCTCAGCAGGGGTGCCCCATCCCCTCCCCATCAGCTCCGTCCTGCCGATGGATGCCTGCAAACCCGCTGCATTTCCAACCCGGCAGGCCCTGCTTCCTTTCCTACCTTCTGTTCCACTTTTCATTACACCCCCTTGTACAGTAAAGCCTCCTGTCACGCTGCCATTACTATTATTATTGCAGATTTACTGCACTTGCAGAGTGAAGTGATGGCAGTGACAAGGCCCAGCATTTTTCCCTCCTTCCCCCCGCGACAGCTTGAAATCAAGCCCTTCATTTGCATTTACATGATCTTGCTGTGCAGCTTATGAGATCGGGAGATTTATTTGCTACTTAGCTTGATGTTTGATTACACTCTAAGAAGGCAGTGAGCTACAAAGTGCAGGGATACATCAGAACTGAGCTACTGAAAGCCTCTGGGGGACAGTAACTCAACATCAGGTTTAGGTAGATGAGAAAGGGAATGTTCAGTGTTTTGAGAAAGGCAAATTTGATCAGCTTTTTTTTTTTTTTTTTTTTTTAAAGGTGAAAAACTTATTTTTCCATCTCTCACAAAAATGGTTGGGAAAACAAGAATAGTATTAAAATGCACGTGAAAATCTGGATGTGTTGATGCAGAAGAAGTGCAAGCAGGGCTGGTGGCTGCTGGGCTGCGTGCTGCTAAGTGCTGTTAACTTCCCCTCCCAGGAAGATTATTAATAATAAGTTGGCACTTATCTTTGAAGATTCTCATAAGCATTAAAGGTCAAAGACGAAGGAAGTTTTGCTTGATGAAGGACCACAAAATCTGGCCCTGATTTATTAAACTTCAGAATGTGCCACCAAGTGATGATCCTGCTGTAACAGCTGGGGAAACTGAGGCAGGGAATGAACGTGTCTGTGACTAATGGCAAAGGGAGTGGGGGTTGGATGGGGGAAATCAGGAGTGTGGCCGTGTTCAGGCTGAGACAACACTGGGTTGTGAGCCTTCCAGAGCACAGGAAGATGGCTGAGCAAGAAGCTCTCATGGAGTCCAGCAAGAAAACGCTTGTTGGTCTGACATATGCAGCTGGACTCCTGACACTCAAACCCTCCAGACAGGGCAGGCATGCTGCTAACCCAGCTACACATGGTTTTTGAGCAGCCTACACTGACGTGCTCCTGACTGATCCGCCTCAGGTGTGAATTTCAGAACTGCCCTCCCCTCTGGAAGCGATGTTTTGCACGAGGCTGGCTGCAGGAGGTTGTGTGAACAGTGGGACACAGGTGTCCCCTCACTGGGTCAGCCACAGCTGCACACACAGGCTGCAGGGGGCACTTTTACCCCGGGGGCTTTCCCTACACAAGCTCAGCTTGCCCCCTCCCCTCTGTTCTACACTCAAGGGCAGGACCTGCTGCAGCAGGGTGGAATCACTGATAACCAAAGATCCCCGGCACAGAATTATATGTCTGTAGAAAGACACCTCTGTCTGGTACTGTAGCTTTGCTTGCAAACTTTGTACTTATGCTATTACAATTAATCATTTAGAACTTAAGAAAGAGTATACCCCATTACATAAAAGACTCCAGCAGTGATCTTTATCCAACTTGTAAAATGGGCAGACTTGATGCGACTGAATAATTTTCCTCTCATCTGCACAAAATCATGAATGCAAGTCATACTTGGAGCCTGAAGTGAACACTGTGAGACCAGCCTATAATTACCAAAATAGAAAAAAAGAACAGCGTTTTCTAATGAATGACAAGCCACTAGGTGGAAATCTAATTTGGTCTAATTAAGCAGCCTTTGTGAGGATTTGTCTTTAGATGA